CACACACTGCCTCACCATTAACACAAGCACTCACGTCCACACCGACTCTGTGCTGCAAACCCTTCCTCCACATCCAACCATCCAACATCCACGTCAACTCAACGCAGCCTACTGAGGTCGAACACGTCCACCAATGCAAAGGATAAATGACACTCTCCTCATCATCTCTCCCCTCTGGCTTGCTTACCAACACGAGTACGTGACTTCCACCACTCCACCTGTTTGTCGAGGGACAGCCACAGCATACACCACTCCTTCTACGAACACTGAACTGTTCTCCTCTGGACCCCAATTCCTTCGCCAAATGATGGCTCACCTGATCACTCAACAGGTGGACATGAATTGGATCGGCTTGGTTTGCAACCTCCTTCTAGCCACGTTGCAGCATCCACTTCCTTCTGCCACCAAACATCTCACCATCCATGCCGTGACACAGTCGACACATCACCTACTGACGGTAACGGCAACAACAACACTGTCGTTTACTCGAAGTGCAAAGCGATTACGACAGACGCAGTGACAAAAGACATTGGAGAGGAGGTGGGACAGGAGTGATGCGATTCGGAGGCACCTCAAGCCAATCCCTCCCAATCCTTCGATGCACCAAATCAACTCACTACCACAACCGCAGTCTTGACGCTGAGAAATGAGGAAGCTTCCCTCCCAATCCGCCTGTTGCACACTCCAATGTTTGCACACGAGGCTGGAAATCAGTGCTCACTCACCGTTGCGCCAACTGGACCTCACACCGCCTCCACTCTGCCCAACTTGCAAGACAGACAAATGAATGCAGCCACTACATCGCACCTTTGCTTACACGGTACAGGGTGGAGGCAAGACACTCATATCGTGGCGACTACCTCACACCTCCCGTCTCACCTTCACCCCTACCCCGATTCACCCACCATGTCCCCTTCCTGCTGCCACTCCAACCATCCACTAGCATGACTTACTACTGTGGTTATCCAATGCACGGCATCCGATCACTGCACCCTCACCACCAAATCGCACCGGCGGTTGCATTGATGCAAGCACACTGGCACTTGTCGAGGTCACCTCGCCCTCTCACGATGCTCTGCTTACTTGAAAGACCTTGTTCTCTCCCTGCCCACTTCTACCTCCAAATGCGTCCCCACGTACAGAGGCCGAT